AGATCCAGATCTGATAGAAGACAGGAATTGGGTTCGATGTAAGTAGAAGTGGGATTATATATCAGTGTAATGAGTCGTACAAAGTCAATATTTGAAGTACCGAAGGGCTAATTACCTAGAGGTAGTACCTAGGTAGGTTAGTTGGTAGCAGAAAGCGGGCATGGAAAGGCTGAAGCTCTGTACTAAAAGATTGCAGCCCATGACATGGTCGGCAGCCCAAAGGGAGGAGGGCATGAGCGGAACTAGAGCCGGCATTTCCCTTCCCTTCCTCCCACTTCCTGCGGCACAATAAAATTGAGCATGGAGGGGTAAGCTCGGGGAAGAGGTCGAGCTCAGCCTTGAACGTCACCAGGGGAGCATTAAAATACCTTACAGGGCACAGCTTCACCTGTGCGCCACTATCCTCACAGCCCCCAGCGATCATTCCAGCAGTTCCAGCGCTGTGGCAGAGGTGTCGCATGAGCCAATTACAGAGGGATGCCATCCATCCAATTCTGCTACTGCCCACATTAGCGTCTCGGATCAGAAGCCTCCCAAGCCCAAATCCAAGCCTGTTCGGGTCTTTTTTGCCCTCCACCTCAATAACCAAGGTTATCCCGGCGCGCGTCATGATAAACTCCTCGTGAGCTACCAAATCTTTTGATTCTTCCTTGTCCGAAGCCTCAGCGTCAATCTTCCACCTCAATCCAATCGCTCCAAGGCCCTCCGATTCTCTTTCGCTTCTGCACCTCCGCCAGGAGCTAGGCCATGGCGAACCAAGAGACTCACTATGGCTTCGACGAAGGCGGAGATGACGACCAGTCTATTGTGTCGGTGTGTAGATACCTACTCGAGCTCCATTGTCTCTTGTCATGCGGACCGCACATAGCTAACCTCAATGCTTTGTTTCTTGGGTAGACGCGCGGACTCGAGGCTTTCAGTAGAAAGGTTACAACTACAGCTACTCATTTGATCGGTCCCAATGCCGAAGCCACGGCTCATCACTACCAAACCGCAATGGCCGAGGTTCACAAACAAATGAAGCGGCCGACTGTCCAGCGAAGCATGTTCGCGATGGCCAGGACAACCCCAACCGACCTCATGCGCTCCAGACTCTCAACGCACGAAATCCAGCATCGCGCTTTGACATACCTTCCCGATGAACTGCTTGCCAATATTCCTGAGCATGATAATCCTTACTCGCTGTTTCAGGGTTTCCAGGCCAGCTTCCCCGAGCTGACTGACGAGGGCAAGAAGTTCCAGCGACGGGTTACCCGCGGTCGCAAGATGCTGGAAGATTCAGATGGGACGCCAGGAAGCCCCAAAAAATTAACTCAGTTAAAAAAAGAAAAGGCTGCCATGATGCATGAGTTTGGGCTGTTGGGTACTCGCAAGAGCATGGCAAGCTACGAGATTCGAGAAATCGATAACAAAATCGCCAATCTCCACGGCATGCGAAGAATTATCCTGGACAGGCTCGCTGGTTTGGAACAGGATGAAGCCATGTTGGAGCATGACAGTATGTGATGTGCCAAATACGTGACAAGACTCCACTGACTTGACAAGTTTCCGAGATGGAGATCCGAGTTGATGAGGCGCAGGCGCTGGTTGATGAGGCTGAGGAAATCGCACGAAACACACGAACCCAGGATGAGCAAGATCTTGTTGGCGATGCCGATGATCACGATCAAGAGTTTATGTCCCAGTCTGTTTATGAAAAGATTCCCATCTCAGAAGCAGGTAGTACGCCCCGGAAAACGAAAAAGGTTCATCGTAAAAAGTCAATGCCCATTCTGCACGAGCATTTCGAGCCTGGCACAGCCATTCGCGAGCTCCGAGCACACAAGGACACGATTACAGCTATTGATTTTGACGCTCCCTTTGGCACTATGGTTACTGCTGCGCTGGATGACACAGTTCGAGTTTGGGATCTCAACGCTGGCAGATGCATGGGTTATTTGGAAGGGCACACTGCTTCGGTACGCGCCTTACAGGTTGAGGATAACATTCTTGCAACGGGCTCTGTGGATGCGACTATCCGACTCTGGGATCTCAGTAAGGCGCACTACGACCCTCACGGCGGCTTGGGAAAAGACGACGATGAGGATGCTATTGCTTTTGGAACGGATAACCACCTTGAACCCCCACCTGGTAGCATGGCTGATTGCCCTCTGTACACATTGGAATCACATGTCGACGAGATCACAGCCCTTCACTTTCGAGGCGATGTTATGGTTTCCGGTTCTGCAGATAAGACGATTCGCCATTGGGATCTTGAAAAGGGCCGTTGCGTGCAAACACTAGACGTTATGTGGGCGGCGGCAGCGAGTATGACAACTACAGACAGCGGATGGCGACCCACTGGGCGGTCTCAAAGCAGTTCAGCCGACTTCGTGGGTGCGTTGCAGGTCTTTGAGACTGCACTTGCTTGTGGTACCGCAGACGGCATGGTGCGTCTTTGGGATCTTCGAAGCGGCCAGGTCCATCGCAGTCTTGTTGGTCACACAGGTGCAGTTACGTGTCTCCAATTCGACGACGTGCATCTGGTGACGGGAAGCGTAGATAGAAGCATCAGAGTATGTTGCCCTCTTGTATCCTCTAAGTACATTTTTGCTAACCAAAACCACAGATTTGGGACCTGAGAACAGGGTCTATTTACGACGCATATGCATACGACAATCCAATCACAGACATGATGTTTGACGCCCGAAGAATCGTCAGCGCTGCGGGTGAGGACGTTGTCAAGGTGTACGATAAGGTAGAGGGACGACAATGGGAATGCGGCGCCGGCATCACGGCCGCTGAAGAGGGCAAGACTCCAGCCATCGTGGAGCGTGTACGTGTAAGAGATGGATATCTTGTTGAAGGCAGACGAGACGGTGTCGTGGGAGTATGGACAAGCTAAGACATACGTGTGTAATCTGTACAAAAAATATAATGAAATCCACTCATGACGATTTGAATCATGAGCAACGCTTCAGTCGTTCAATCTGTAGGCTTATAAACTGAGTCGGGGCAAAGTTGGCTGGAAGGGTTCGCTATACAAAAATATACGCTGCACTCGATGTTATATATCGAATTACGCGATCAAGATGCTCTAGATCATATTGACGAACATTGTGGGTGAAGACTACCTTAATGTATCTTATTGGATGCTTAGTACTGCCAACTTCAAGGTTAAGCGGCGATGTCTCAATCCGTGCTTTTGCACTGTTATTGATCACAACGCTTTAGTTCTGGCAGATAACAAGCAACTTGAAACAACGTTTCCTTTCGATTAGGCTGATTGCAATCTCATAATTAATGACATCTTTCCTGGAACATGGCGTCAGCGGCATATGAGCAAATTCTCGTCAGGTATTTCGAGACAACTCGCGCGCTCGTCGAGGCACCAGACACTGAGCCGAGAACGACAGATGCACGCTGTATAGGCACCGAAGGGTTCAAAAGGGTTTCTGAAGAAGTTGTAGAGAACTTGACAGATCACGCTGCGCATACGGATCCCACAGCAGATGCCATGGTTCGACTTCTTGCAAGACAGGCTCGTACGTTGATCACAATCCACAATGACTTGGCCTCGAACAAGGGTACCATCAACATCAATCAGGATCTGCTCAAAAGAAGAATAGCAGATCTGATCTCTATCTCGTCATCCAAGTTTTACGCCTACCGTTATGACCTCCTCCCTGTCATATGGCGTCAGATATATACTGACGCTTGCATCCTTGACTCTTTCAGCCTCATTGTACCACCTCTCATAATTGATAGCATTCTCCCAGACAAGCTTCTAGATCTTGTCGTTGAGAAGCTTGACAGAGCACTCATCACGGCTGGTGGTGGCGGACGACAAGAATGGCTTGAGGAGACATTACGGATACTTGAAGTAGCGTGGACGGCGAACGGAGAGCACGAGAGGCCAATAAAGCGTCAGAGACATGACACTTCGACGCAATACTTTTCGAACTACCAGCCTCATGGACATCCGAAGCTCTCACCTATCAGGGAATGTCCCCGACACTCCGGCTGGACAATACCGCAGTTTGAAGACTATATGAACTGCGATAACGGAGAGCCTCGACCTGTCGTCTTTACAGATTTGATTACAGACTGGCCTGCTCTCGCAGATCGCCCCTGGAAGGATCCCGGGTATCTCCTCTCTAAAACCTTTGGAGGGAGACGTCTGGTACCGGTTGAAATCGGTAGGAGTTATGTCGATGAGGGTTGGGGACAAGAACTAATCCAGTTCCGCGAATTTCTTGCTCGTTATGTTACAGGAGAAACAGAGGGCATTGGCTATCTCGCCCAGCATAACCTCTTCCAGCAGATTCCTTCGCTTCGTAACGACATATCCATCCCGGACTTCTGCTGGGTCGACGTCCCACCTCATCCAACAACTCCGTCTCTAAATCAGCCACCCGTTGACATGCCCCAGCTCAACGCCTGGTTCGGTCCAGCGCGCACTATCACGCCTCTCCACACCGATGGCTACCATAACCTGCTCTGCCAGGTCGTTGGAACAAAATACATCCGTCTGTATCCCCCCCGTGCAACATATGCGATGCGGCCGCGAGCATCTGAGCATGGTGTTGATATGAGCAATACGAGTGGATTGGATGTGGGTGTTCTCGAAGAATGGGATGAGAAGCCCAAAGATATGAATGAAGAAGATGCCCAGAAGATGAGGGAAGAACTCGAAGGAATCGAGTATTGGGAGTGTATCCTTGAACCAGGAGACACACTGGTTATTCCTATCGGATGGTGGCATTATGTGAGGAGTCTAAGCGTGAGCTTCAGTGTGAGCTTCTGGTGGAATTAATAGGCCTTGGGCGATAACCCTAGTAGATCCACGGGTGAATTTCAGAAACATCTGCAGGAGGCTGATACACACATTTAAACGACTGTAGTGATAAAACCGCAGTGGAGGTCGCTGACATGTTCATTCCATTGCCTACGGACAAGACTCTGCTGATCCAAACTCCTGTAGATTTTGCAGAATATCAAAAAGACCTGTGATCCCTTTGTTACCCAGCTGTGGATGCATCATCCACGCTCTCGCCCGTTCCTTGAGCCTCTCTCCGAGCTTTCGCCCCAGCCTTCAATGTCTCCCACTTCTCACGATACTTATCCAAAACCTTTTGCATCTTCCGGTTGTCCTTTTCCAGTCGTTCCATCTGTTTGACGGCTGCGGTGAGCTGTTCCTCCAACTCTTGGTTCTTGCGTCGTAAGGATTCATCTGCAACTTTGCTGGTATGTGGTGAAGCAGTGGGCGATCCAGGGCGCATGAGACGGTAACTTTCGGCAAGAGCCATTGCGGAATTCTGAGCACTGGCTTCAAAGGCGTGGAGCCGCTTGGTAAGTTTATCTAACGTGTCCTTGAGAGATTTGTTTTCAGTGTATAGCTCTTCGATGATGTTGTTGAAGTCCTTGTCAGTACGGGCACGGCCAATACGACGTTTGGCTCCGGGCGACAGCGGGGGTGCTTCTCGAGCATCCACAAAGTCGTCGTCATCTTCATCAGGAACATCGAGGAGATCACTGTGGGATGATGCCCCGAGTCTTCTCTTTTCCTTCTCGGCAAAGCTCAGGATATTTGCATAAGACATAGTGTGGCCAGTACTGGGCACAACGTAGAAAGAATCGTTAGCTCCGTGCCCTTCTCTAACAAGAGCCTGCATGGTTGCCTTGGAGTAGATCTTGCTAAGGTCTGGTTCTAAGACCTTGGACGGGGACGCCTTAAGGTGACTACGCTTGGGACTGGGAGACATTTCTGGGGAGTCAGGTGTTTCTGTAATGGTGGATTCCTCTTGTATCAGTGGCAGACCGGCAAATGCCAAGGGTGCTGAGATCTTGTTTATGAGACTTCCGAAGGTGTTGTAGAACCGAGTATATCCTCCGTCGTCACTGCTTGCCGCAGAGGAAGTTGTATCGGTGCGTGGGGACGATGAACCTTTACCATAACTATCGGATCGTGTGGTTGCAGCGACAGGTGGAACCCAGGTCGGTTTGCCAGGTTGATGATCGATGATAGTCTGCATCTTGGCCTTGGTTCCGCGAGGGTGCGAGGCTGCATCTAGATTTCCGGGAGCTTGGTCGTTGGAAACGCTGGGCGCGAGAGGTTGGCCTCTATACTTTGATCGGATGCCACGAGCGGTAGCCAAGTTACTGGCGATGGAAGAGGACATCTCCCGGGGAGCATATCTGCGTTGGGTAGGAGGAGACAGTTTCTTTGACGCCGTTGAGTCCTTCTTGTTTTCCTTTTTGTCGTCCGCATCTTGGGTGGGAGCATTCGTTTTGGTGGACGAATCCTTCTCGTTGAGATCGGCATCGCTGGCCTGGGAGGTAGGTTCGGTCGGTCGGTTTAAAATCTCGACGATCCTACGATGATGTTGTTCTAGGAGCTTCAGTGTTCGCAGAGCTTCGATGCTAGAGGTCGATCTCGCAGCGTTGGCGAACTCGCCAGCGGCCTGAGTGTGTTCGGTTATTGCGACGGTGCTATCGGACGAGTGGTGAGCGACACTCGCGGCGCGCACATGATCGTGTGCTTTTACAAGCGGAGATGAGTCCATTGTTCCATAAGTGGTGAAATTCGAGAGAGCTTGAGTTGTCCAGCGGATCTTGGTGTGCTGTTCAACTTTTTGAATTCGCTATTGGGTTGTAGGTTGGTTGTTATCGTAACGTGATGAGGTCAAATGTGGGGAGGCACAAGACCACTGATGATGGCGGTTGAGTGGCTCTGGGCCCAGATATTACCTACCTTACCTAGTCCCTATTTCAAGTTGGCGATGTACTTCACGAATGGGAAAGTGACAGTTAGACCTTGTGCAAATCAAGGTAGGTAGTTGATTGTTTATGTCATGTTGAAGATCTAGTAATACGAGAGTTTACTAACAAGTAGGCACCTACATTTGGGTCAAAGGACGAATGGAGTAAGATGGAAGTCTTGCTTTCCTCTTGACGCAATCAATCGCTCATACTAGCAGTTGCACATAGCCCATGCTATAATACAATTTAGCTTTTGGCGGGGTTAAGATTAATTACCTTACCTACTAAACGCCAGGTACGCAGAAAGTGATCGGGAATTTCATGACGACACTGACTCAAAAGTGGAGAATGGCTGCGGATCATGTAAGGTAAGGTATGTAATGTATTTCGATGAGTACCGTAACTTTCTTGCCTATTAAGGAGTTTTCTTCGTAAATATGCCTGATATATGAGATGCATGAGATGCATGGTCTTGGCCCTGTGCTGTTACCCTAAAGCATAGTACTAACAGTAAATTGTTTTTTTTTTGTATGTTATGGCTACAGGTTATCTCGGGACATACAATATCGTCTTTCGGACATATATTGTTAATTTGAGCTTTCTCTCTATGTTAGTTACACACTTACAGCCCTAATGGAAGGTTCGAACCAATGCATATACTCAGTATTCGATCATGAATCCAGTCCAGCTACTGTACGGGAGGATATGGGATACTTATGATTATTCATATTGAATAACCTTTTATTCCTTGATATATCTCCAATCTTAATCGAAGCCCTTCTGGCTTTGTGTCCTTGCTGCTTCTTTCCTTTCTTGTACACAAGAGTTAGATATTCATCAATAAATACCTAACTTAAACACTCTGTTCTTTTTATCATTCTCGTATAGGAGTCCTACTTCGTACCTACCTACCTTGGGTAGGTAGGGTTGTTACTGCGCCACGGAGTCTGGCCAGCTCATCCACCAACCTCAAACAAAACCCCATTGTTTAGCCAGAGGTTCAGCAGGGATCAAGTCTGACTGGTCCCACCAGCTAAGCATCCACAGACATCATCATTGGCGCCCCCACTCGTCCACCACACAGGGGTTTGTACGCGGGTTCATCGGTTAAGTTTAGAGCTTCCAGTTGGTTTCGGTGGTTGGCTGGTTCATTCGGACTCTAATATGCCTACACCAACCGAAATACCTACGGATTTGCGAGCTACTTCATCCCCTGAAGTAACCCTTTATTGATAAAAGCCACAGGCGTGGTTAAATGCAGTAGGCACCCACTGAGATACAGGTTGGAAATCACGCATGCGGTTGAAGTTGGATACCACCCAATTGAGGGAGGAATTACACAGAAACCAAATCGAACAAGACTTGACCCGACTTGGCGTGGTCCAGGACGTCGTAGTCTGGCCCGTCATATAACCACCATTTGGGCTAAAACAAACCAACGACGTCAACTCTCTTATCCTTGGCTCGATCGCCATTCAGCTTTCCACGACAAGACCTCAAGACCTCTCAATCTATATCCTTCGACTTTTATCGACTATTCTAAAAATATATAACCAAAGTTTGTCATACGAAAACCCTTGCGTTCTACAACCACGACCAGCGTTCCTCAAGACTGCCGCCACATCGAGCGCATCCACTCCAACGCCTCCAAGCACGTAACAACGAGCGATTCCGGCTTGATCCCTCACATCTTATTCGACCTTCGACCGCAGGAGGCTGCGGTACGCGGCGACTGCGACTGCAACGATGTCAACGACTTTGGACAACAGCAGCAATACTGGGCTGAACAAGCTGCTGCCAAAGTCAATATCCTCCAAGCGACTTCGAAGAAAACAAGACCGAGAACAGCCAGGGCTGTCCTATGACGATGCTAGCGTCTTTGCACATTCACAGTCAAGCCGGGAAACTTTGGAAAGCGATGGCACACGCTCTGGGCACATTGCAGGAGATGAGGATGAGGGAACAAGCCAGAGCCATCGCTCCTATGAGTCCGATGGGGACGAATCGTGAGTTTCATCAAACTTTCTTGTCTCGCTCTTTTTTGTTTTAGTTTCCCCTTCTGCTTTCCCCTACCGTCATCAACTGGATTCTTCGTGGCAATGATCGTCCGCCTCCTTGTTGGTTTTGCCAGTCCTGTTGCGTGGGAACAGCTGCGAGGCTGAGACCCCTCGGTCAGTATCTGCGACATCCATGCTTCAGTGGCACCAAAAGGAGAGACACAATATTCGACGTATTGCGCTAAGAGGATGGCAGATCAAAGCTCCACACGGCGCTATGATCGTCCATACTCGCGCTGACAAGCTTCAACTCCATTGTTTGGCATTACATACTTCCCAGTTACCTTGCTTACAATGTCGCTATCTTCCTGCTTTGTTTTGTTTCTGGTTATTCTCGTGCCAGCAGGCTTGGCACATCTGCCGTCTTCCCCGTGCCCACTTCCCTAGCAAACTCCACTTATCGGTGTTACCGTCTGTGCTCTCTACTGCATTTGATCAATCTAACTGGAGCCATCGTCACTCTTTAGATCCAACTCCCGACACCCGCCACCTTTCTCGACTCATCCTTCTCAAATAGGCCACTTAACGACAAACTCTTCTATTGTACAGGCGAAGTATCAACCAGAATCACAACCTTCGGTTTCAGACGTCGAATCCAATAGTAGTGCTTCAAAATCGTCAACGTTCCCAGCATCGCGAACAGATTCCATCGATTCAAAAGACCCCCGGATCGGCCGGAGTAAGACGGGCTTGCTCCCTCCCCAAAGTTCCGCTCGTCGCTCGCCATCACCCGCTGGTAGACTAAAGGGTATCTTCAAGCCCAAGAAGAGCTCTGGGAATAACCCAAGTCCAGAGCGTCGCCCAGCAAGCGAGCCCCAACCATCGACTGAGACTCGCGACGAACAACAGCCCACCATCTCGGTGGATCCTGAACCTAATCAAGAATTACCAGTTATCGAGCCACCAGCTGCAGCTAAAGTTGCTTCGCCCGAAAGACGAGCGAGGGTCCAGCCCAAGGTTGACACGAATATCCCTCCTCGAACTCCTCCAAGCGGTGACAAACCTGCCCCGGTTATAGTAAACACCCCACCTACACCTACCGAGTTCGCCAACAAATCCGGCCAGTCGTCTCCCGAAAGGAGGTCTTTCTGGGGTAGTCCAGGGAACAATTCGGGCACAAATGGCCGTCCTTCCTCTCAGAACATGAGTGCGAACAGGAGGAGTCGATCGAATTCACAAAACATCGGCCCCAGCAAACTCTCTAACATTGTATCCGCTCCCCTAACACCGACCCAAGAGAGTGGTGAACCGACGCCTACGGCGAATCAGAACCCTTCAGGCGGCTTCTTCTCGTCTATGATCTCAGCTGCCCAGAACGCTGCCAATTCTTTCAGTAATACCAGTTTGAATATTGGCGGAAACAAGTCTCGAAGCGTGACTCCCAACATACAGGAAACACCCGAACCCGACAATACCCAAGACAACACCGAACCCACTCCGGTTACGCAAATGGCGGACAAGAAGGAAAACAGAAAGTCCGCGGTGTCGACAATTGGTGCTGGTGAGCTTAGTCTCAGCCAGCTTGGACTTGCTGAAGCTCCCAGCCTTATCGCATCTCCAATCAACGCCAGGTTCCCGGACGTGTCTGACACGCGTGCTCGGTCTGAATCTGCCCCGGTCGATTCCCCAGTGAGTCCTGTGGAGTTTATCCCAGAGGAGTCTTCCAGTCGCCCACGTTCACTATATGAACCCGTGAGCCGTGAACGCACGCCTCCCCCTGCAGAGTTTACGAACAAGGAGAACGGTGTGCAAAGAACATCGAGTCTCCGAAGTGCTCTCAAACAGAGCCACAGGAAGCGTGGAAGCTCTGTCACGACTGGAACCACCATAGGAGCTGCGATTGCAGCTGCCAATAGTTCACTAGCACATCCCAATCTGAGCGCACCCAAGCTTACAGGATTCGCTATTGCCAGTAAGAAAAGAAATCGCGATTTTCACGATTTGTTTAAGAGTGTGCCAGATGATGACTACCTCATCGAAGACTACAGTTGTGCTTTGCAGAGAGAGATTCTCGCGCACGGCCGCCTTTATGTCTCAGAGGGTCATCTCTGCTTCAGCAGCAACATTTTTGGTTGGACAACAACACTCGTTATGAGCTTTGATGAAATAGTGTCTGTCGAGAAAAGAAGCACTGCACTACTCTTCAAGAACGGTCTGATGATTTCAACACTGCACGCCAAGCACATTTTTGCCAGTTTCACAAGCCGAGATGCTACATACGATCTGATCGTGAATATATGGAAACTTGGTCACCCTACACTCAAAAGCACGCTAAACGGTGTGAGACTTGAGGGCACCGGTGGCGACAAAACAGAAAAGGTTGATGCTGAGCCTCCCGCTGAGGATGAGACTCACGAGGGTTCAGAGACAGATGACGAGAGTGATGACGAAGAGGAGTACTACGATGAAGATGTCCACGAGGAGATGCACAATGCTAGCATAGCTGCCGAAACTAAACCCAACGGAGCAGATGCTGATGGTGAGAAGGCTGCCTCCAGGAAAGCGTCAGGAGCAGCGCTCCCAAGTGGACCGGCGTCTGAAGAGTCACCACCCGCTGCTGGAGGCTCCGCGGACTTCCCAGGCCCAGCTACTCATGCACCCACTGAATGCGGCGACACTGCATCACATTACGATAGAGTGGTTGGCGACGATATCATTCCGGCACCACTTGGCAAGGTGTACAATCTCATGTTTGGCCCAGCTTCAGTTGCATTCATGTCGAACTGGCTATCAGGAGAGCAGAAGTGCTTAGAGCTGCAAATGGAGGACAAGAAGGGCCTTACACTGGATAACAGAACCCGGACATTCTCATACATCAAACCACTCTACGCCTCGATTGGACCAAAACAGACTAAGACTATTACCTCGGAGACATTAGAGACTTTAGATCTCGAGAAGTCGGTCAACCTTACCTGCTCAACCCAGACACCAGACGTGCCGAGTGGAAATGTGTTTGCGGTCAAAACCAGGTACTGCCTCTCGTGGGCCGACAACAACGCCACTAGAGTGCAGATGAACTGTACAATTGAGTGGTCCGGCAAGAGTTGGCTGAAAGGTAACTGCAGTAACCATTTAGATCAATTAGAATCGATGCTAACATGGTTCAGGGCCTATCGAGAAAGGTGCAACTGATGGCCAGACTACATACGGAAAAGACCTGTTTGCAGCTATCAAGGCAGCAGTATCAACCAAACCAGGAGGAGCAACGCCGGTGGCCCCAGCACTTAAGGGAGGCAAGAGGAAAGGCAAGAAGGCTAAGCTTTCACAGTCAAATACTGGTGTTGTCGAGACCAACGTTGCGCCCAAGCGGCCTGCTCAGACGAGTTGGGGTGTTCTGGAGCCTGTACGAGGAATCCTGGAGCCAATTGGAGACATTGTCCAACCTCTTCTCACTGGAAATGTTATGTATGGACTTTTGGTAGGGTTGCTGGTTGCCACGTGGTTTGGGTTCGGCTTCACTCCTAGCAGAAATGCTTCCTACGGTCGCGAAATTGGGGGCGTCTATCGACCAGACAGGATTGCTGCTTATGAGGAGATGTGGCGAAGAGAGGACAGTGAGCTTTGGGATTGGTTGGAGGAACGTGTCGGGATGGACCGTCTGCAGAGTGACAATGTCGGGGCACGCAAGAGGGCAATGGAGCCAAAGACAGTTGAAGACAACTTGCGCGCAACTCGAATGGGTGAAAAAGAGGTGGAAGAAGCGATTCGAGTCACAGAGGAAAAACTACGAGTACTGAAGGGAGTTATGGAGAAGAAGAGCAAGCCTGGTAGATCGACTGGTGACGATGTTCGATCACAGGGACTATAGAAATTGTGTATATTTTAGTGATACATCATAGCCTGACGGGAGTAATCAGCGAGCTCCTTTGTTCTTTTGTCAACTACCTTTGTAACAACAAGTTAACCATTGAATATATTTGGTAGACGAGTCAAGCATCGTTTCCAAGTTAGGGTGGGGTGGTATTGTGTCGATGGTCGGTTACACAACTGGTGATGGGTGTCTACATTGCAAGGCCCGTGATGCTGATGAATGATCAGATTGGTCAGCCTTAAGCAAGCAGGCAAGCCAATGGCATTCTTGGCTCAGGACAAGGAATCTGAGCGTTCCTGCATGGCCCAGTTTGGATCTGGAGGGTGGTGGCTATGCTCAGATAGCTCGGTACTGGCACTGCACCTTAGAGACGGGTTGAGAAGTAGCTCCGAGCACCCAAAGGTAAACATCCATCGGTTTCGTGCAGGCCTCTGGGTTCCTTGAACTCGGGCATAGGAAGTTGCATGGATAGTCAATATAGCGTTGAGGATAAAAAGGTCGAGTAAAATATCGGATATCAATATCAGTACGACTGGATTACCTACCCTGCAGCTCAAGGTAAGTAGGAAACCGGGCTCTTGCTATAATATAAAGCCGGCAATCATCTTACAAATTATCTATGTTAGTACTCCGTACATTGTTTGTTGCAATCAGCTGATCCAGTCTAGCATATGGATGGTCTGATTCCGCGACGGGTTGAACACGAACGAAATATTTAGGACGTTTCGGTGTGACGCAACCACGCAGCGGAGACTTTGTATGTGACTAGAACAGCTTCCATGTCTCCTCTAGCTATATGTCTGGCGTGACAACGATGCTCAACTACTACTATTAGGTAGTTAGAACTTAACGTTTGACAGTATATTCTGAGACCAATATACCGACCTCACTTTCACAATAACGAGACCACAGTTTCCAAAGTCTCCCAGCATATAGAGAGTTATGCCTTATTAGGCCAGCCCAGCCCAGCTCAGCTCAGCTCAGCATCTTACGGGCATTCTCAGGAGCCGACTTGCAGTTGATGAGGGGCCAGAGCTGTGTCCGCCTTGTTGCCTACCCTGCTTCTTCCCAAGCCACTCGAACCAAACAACAGGGATGACGATGCAATTGTATTGGATGAGGGAAGCAAGTTTCATTGCCGGGGCACCCCCGCGTGTGGACGGGCGGGGGATGGTTTGTGCTGCAATTCCATTCTGAGTGAGCTGTGCGAGGCTGATTTTGCTTTAGTCTTTTAGTACCAACTATCCATCCCTCCTTGTCCCATCGGCTTCAAAGAGCCTTACCTGATGACGGAGGCTTATCCGCCTTCCTAGGCACTGCCCTGAATAAGATCTTTTCGCTACAAGGCAACTCTGTTCATCTTTCCAACGTCCGGTGCCTCTCTGTACTTGAGCAGCAACAGCAGATCCCCCATCCCCAGGCCCGGGTCCCACGGACGCATACTGACTACCTACATCGCTTGCGTTGAATGGATACAGCCCAACAACGTTGATCCACCTCCCTCCACTTCCACCGAGCCGCAAGCTTAAGCTCTAAGCTCCAAGTCCTAGTCCAGGCCTTGAGTCCTACACACTCTTGTCTTATTCGCCCTAGGACAGTATCCTCGCGAGTTGCCTCCCCAGCCGTTGAACTCATATTCCAGTGGTAATAAAACCAAAAGAGAAAAAAATCTATATCGACTATGGGTGGCGTATACGTCTGATTGTCTTTTTTATTTGGAGGAGGCTGATACTGTTGCAATCTCATCTATTTCTCTCAATATCGCTCCCGCCTCTTTCGCCATCCTTAGAGTGCTTGCTTGGTCTTACTTGGATCGACTTGTAATTGCAACAGCCCACAAAGTTCAACATTGCAACACAAACTTTGCTTACAGGGCCCGGGAGTCGAATAAAGAGCCTTTCCATTGACTCTCGAAATGGAGTCAAAAAAACGTTTGTCCCTGGATGGGACAAACTCTGGCTCGGGACCTTCAGCCCTACGCCGGCTCACTCGAAGCCCCAGTCATCGTATAAGTCTGCGGCGATCAAGCACTGAATCTACATCATCATCCTCCGTCTCCTCAATCGCGTCAGAAGACAATGAGGCATCACCGAAATCTTGTGTGTAAGAGACGATTTTTCCTTTCATTCATCTCGACAAGTCCTCCCCGACTCATTGGTGCAATAGGACCCGTGGTACGTCGAGCGACGACTGCGCTCTTCATCGGTTTATCGTCTGGACTGCAGTCAAACGAAATGAGTGCGACAGAATGACTCCCCAAGAGAAGCTGGAATGCCCTATGCTGCGCTGCCGCAAACGATTTGCCAACCACGAGCTCATGCTCCAGCATCTATACTCGTGCAGCTGGCTCTCCACGAGTGAGTATTGGTGTTACGAATGCGGAAAATCCGAACGGTTCAACGATTCCAAGTGCAAGCGATGCCTGGGTCACCCATCACGAAGAAAGAAGATACTGTCCATGGCAAAGAGCTTCTTCAACTCCCTCGGTCACAAACCCAAGAGCTCAGCCCTGGAGGATCTTGACCTCGACATTGACATGGGAGAATCTGAGGCGCCGCCCAGTTATGATCTAGCCGTGGCGCCAAGTGAGCTCGAGCTACCTACGAATGAGATCCATGAGATTGGCTCCAGCGGTATAGTTTTACAGCCCATATTGGAGAATGAGAACGAACATGAGAACGAGGCAGAGATAAGCCCGGCCCCCATGCTCACACCTTGCATCGCATCGCTGCCTACACAGACCCAGGCACAGACTCTGCCTACTCACCCCGCGGAGCTCGAATCAGATGCAACCCTCAGCGACCCCCTCGATTTCATGCTGCCGCCAGGCACTGTTGTCCCTGTCAACCTCATCGACCCCGGCTGCAACACAACTTCTGTACGGCCCACTCTTCAGCTTCATACAGCAGGTCTAGAAGAGTACCGCAGAGAACAAAAGAGACGCAGTAAGGGCCAAGTCGCACCTAGCACCTCGGTTCGCTCGACAGCCAGTACCAACTCGACGTCGAGCACAAATACGACGGACACTACTTTCAGCAGAGAAAGTTACAATATCTCCCCCATATCGTCGTTCTCTGATCAATGGGCAAGTGCACCAGTCTTCGACTCTGACTTCACCTCCCCTGAGAATGGCTTCCAAAGCCCAGGAGGCCTCCTCAGGACGAAGTCGTTCGCCATATCTCACAAGGCACCCGCAGCCAAGGGCTGGAACTCGTTCGAAAACGAGGCAGGCATGTCCTATGACTCCCAACCGACTGAACTCCCCACAGACATCCCCATGCTCGGTGCCTTGCCTGCCGCGGAACCTGATACTCTGAACCTCAACCAGCCCGTTTTCACATTGAATGACTCTTCCCTTTCCTCTACTTTCGACCTTGATGCCAACATTGCCCTCATCGACAATAATGTCACGATGCCACCGTCCCTCCACCTCATGCCACCGCTACCGAAGGCCGAGTCCTATCATAACCCTCGGTCTCTGATCGGCACGGCATGGAGTACTCTCCAGATGCATGTCGCTGACTCTCTGACCAAGCTTCATCATATCACCAAGAACCACCTTGTCATACAACTCAGAAGTCTTACGGCTCAAGTAATAGCTATAAAGGGATTCGAAACTCTTATGGATATCATCGAAGGTCGCCAGCCGACTGTTCCCATCAATGTCCTCTGCTTCGTTCACTTGGTTTACTGTTTCTCCCTTATTGTTCACGAGCAAGACGCTGCAAAAAGATCTTCGGATCTTTTTGTTCAAGCGATGTCCTACAGCACCTTGTTTTCACGGCAGGATCGCCAGCTGTATATACAGATTGTCGAAACTCTCTGGAAACCAGCTGCTATGAGCAATGCTGACCTCGTAAACCTGGTTCGGGCCAAAACATCTTCTTTGATGTCGCATTCGCCTGGCTCGAAGGGGAAAGGTATTGAGCCCACAAACATGATCTACGCCAGTGTCGACTCGCTAGCGTTTCTGGCAATGTATTTCTTAGACCAACTCGAAAATGCCGCCATCCATGTGACAGACGACGCGGAAGTTCTATCATCTGATCTCTTTATGGGTCACTGCAATAGCCTAGACAGGACTCATATGGATTCGACACAAAACATGGCAGCAAATCTTATGCTCAAGCACAACTTTCAACTATATACTCATTATCAAGCCTTTGCAGACAGTCTGAACAACATCGCTCATCGCGCCAATTCGGAGTTGATGCTACCACGGCGCTTAGAACTCGAGCTTATGGAGTGTGGAAAGGTGAGTCGAAAATAGTCACTTGGAGGCCGAGACTAGACTAAACAATCCAATGCAGATGTGCCTACCTCCAGACATTTACTTCGACGGATATATCCGCTTTGTTCGAGAACAGATGGATTCTATATATTGCACGGCTACTGAAGAGGGTACTTACCGGGCTCTCTATTACCGCCAATGCATTGAGCTTATCAAATCTGTTATTGGCGTCCAGTCACAACCGATAGCTGCGCACTCAGTTCAAAACAGCTCAGTAACGCAAGATGGTTTTGACGATATCGACGAATTCTTCAATGTGATGACGCCGAACAACTTCAATTTTAGCTCGGTTGGCCCATTTGATGCAGGGCAACCCTTGGACTTCTCATGCCTACCAAACACAATTGATCCTGGCACTTTGAACCCGTTACCACTTCCTACGCCCGCAGACACCAATTCGGTGCAGGCGACTTCAACGGCCGCCAATTCACCACCTTCTCCTGCTCCAGCAGCATCCTCCTCCTCCTCTTCAGCAGCAAAAATCAAGTCGGACAGTAGTTGCAAACTGTGTGGATATACACCTGAAGGTGATCCTCGATGGTTCAGCGGCAGTATGGCCAAGCACATGAAACTGCAGCACTCAACAAAACCTCCAACCATCTACCGCTGTCCATACCCTGGCTGCACAAGTCAGTACAAGAACAGACCAGACAACTTGCGCCAACACCAAATAGAGAAGGGTCATTTTTTAGAGGGACAAGACGTTGTAAAGCGATCGAGCAAGCGACGTAAGATTGAGTGATCTTGGATGCCAAGGTTGGCACAGGCAGTTGCTTCTTGCAGAGGGCCTTCAATGGGGACAATCACGGATGACCTATGCTGATGTGTTCGTTTTGCTTTCTCAACTTTCTTTACCATTGTTTATAGACAACATTTGCATGGCGTTTTGGTTGGACACCAGCACTGGAGTGCTTTATTTTGGAAACATACCATGACAGGCGTAATGCGTTCTCGTTATCAAACGCAGCCGATGTTAATATATGGTCATTACGGCGCATGCGTTGACGCAAACATTGCCGATACTACGGTGACGAATGTAAATACCCTGTAGTTACATATATCTTGTCTTTGAGTTATAAGCTCAAGTTAGTTCTATCCCACAGAGTAAGGAAATTAATCAATATACCCACCTATTTCATAAATTATCTTGCAGTAATACAAATCAGGCAACACTAATAAGGTACTTAGACAAGATGGTGACGCTATAACTGCATTGAGGTTCGACACGTCAATCTTTGGCCTGTTGGTCCCGTTTCTGAACAAGCCTCTGACTGAGAACGGAATGCTCGGCAAGGCTTCTTGTAGGACAGAGACTTAATGATTGGCTCAGTGAGAAGGCACTTGGAATCACGTGCTAAGCCCGCAAAGAAACGATAGAGACATGAAGGTTGATAGATGAAAGGTGCTGGGGAATTGGTGTCTGCTTGTAGGTTTATTAGATATATGAGACAGAACTGTTAGGGTGTTGTTATTGCAGTATAAAACTGCATAATATTAAATTGAAACAGAATCGGGATAAGAAGTGTTGAGTTTTCTGAATTAATAAAGAAACAGCTTAGGCTAGTAATAAAGTTGAAATGGCGGGAACTTATTTATTACTGACGTGGAAGTACTGCGCAAACTCTGTACTTAATTTTCAATTCCAAATATGAAACTGGACAATTAATAATTATCAAAGCTATCTAGTTTGTCTCTTGAGCCGCACAAAGAGATACCTAAGCAACCTACTAAGGTAAAACACTTCATGCAATTGCCGCGAGACTTCAAATGCCGAAATGATAGACACCATGTCTACTAGATTGAAATCTCGCAGTGCAATCATATGGCTTCCGATCCAGATTATCACCAAATTCACTTCCAGTTACAGGGGCTAGTTCGCTGACGCAGTGACGCCACGCCACGCCACGCCACGCCACGCCAGCCATAGAGATCCCCCACAGCTTGAAATAAGATCGACTGGCTGCCTGGCTGAAGTCCAGCGAAGAGAAGGAAGGGAGGATAACGCACACCTGCCCCAGCCTGCACTTGCCTACACCTGCCACTCCATTCATATCCTGTCATCAACCATACAGCTTCACCACTGTTATTTTCTATCTCTTAGTTTATGTTGTTTTACTCGGTCCTTCTAAGGTGCTCAGGCTCACACGAACCTTACCGCAAAGGCTCAAACAACGAGGCCAGACACAGACAGTGCAACACCGTAGGAAATCACACAGTGCCGCAGCGGTAGAAGAGGCGTGTTTGTCCATCTGCTTGCTCTGGTTGCTGCACTGCACCCTTTCGGCTCTTTTGCCCTCCCACCTTTTCATCTTTTCTTGCGTTGCTGCTCTGTCATCGTACCAAATCTGCCATCAAATCTTTCTCCCTTCGCCCCTCCCCTGCCAATTTTATCTCCCCCCTTCGCTCAGGCCAGGCATCGTCACGCCAGGCAAGCAGGCAGACTTTTTCATCCCCATAATTTTGCACGCCTCTGCATAACCCGCAACCACGCCTCCTCCTCCCCAAGTCCAGAGCTTCATTAATCACACCCCCAAAGATCCTGGGTCCCAGGGTTTGCTTCATACACACGCTCCGCAATCTGAACTACACTGCACCGCACACCACCGCGCTCCGCTCCGTATCAGCACCTCGTGCCCGGCGAAATCAACGTCACGGCAGCATCTCTCGTCACTCTCTTACCGTCACCGCCACCGGTCACCGTCACGGCCTTCGGCTTCGGCAACGGAGGCCACAACGACACCTACCGGAGGAGCGTAAAGACGGATCGCGACAACCTCATCGAGAGCATCGTGATAGTCACGCAGCCGAGTGTGCCATCATACACTCGACTCGACCAGACCAGACTCAGCTCCCCGAGTCACGCCACGTCACGTCACGTCGTCGCCTTGCTTCGCTTTGTCGCGATCGATAAACGACAACAACACATCCGGCGTACCCATTGGCTTCACTAGTCCCCGAGACTCAATTCTTTCGCGTTTAAACATTCACGTTTACCAACCGGCCCTTCTGCCGGGGCTGACCAGGCGATATGTCGAGTCTGCGTCCAGGATCCAATAACCATACTGGCCTCAACTTTCCCCAGACCAGTCTTCGCCGTAACCCATATCCTCCAGGGCCTCATCCAGGTCAGCAGAACAAGCAATCGCCCGCGCCTCATTCTGCGTCCCCTTACCAGACTCAGGCATATCAGCCTCAGCAGACGCCAACTGGATATCCTCAGCATCTTTTCTCAAATCCTCCGCATGTCAACGGCAGCCTTTCCAATGGCTCCTCGCGTTCTTCCACTTCGCACATGCCCAGTGCGGTGCCGAACCCGCTTGATGTGTCTAATCCCCGAGGACTATCGCAGTCACGCTCTCAAATGATGTTTCCGACGTTGGGGCAGGTTGTGCCAAATCAGTTACACCATCCCCAGCAGCAACAGCAGATGCATTCCCAGCACTTGAGCCATTCTTCTCACTCCCTCAACCAGCCTCGACAAACCCTCCATCAGCACCATGCTCAGCAGTCGCCTCAGCAGCGGCCTCAATCCCAACAGACTCAGCCAACTCCAAAAATTGGCCAGCTTCAGGTTAAGCCTCAAGCGCCTTCCCCTCCCTTGACCCAACAGTCGAGTCAGCAACAGGCTCAAACGCACCAACAGCTTCAGCAACAACTCCAACAGCAGCAGCAACAGCACCATTTGCAGCAACAGCAACAATTGCAACAGCAACAGCAGCTTCAGCAGCAACAGGCGCAACAGCAACAACAACAACAGTTGCAACAACAACAGCAGCAGCAGCATCATCATCACCAGCAGCAGCAGCCGCAGCAACAAGCGCACCAGCAAGTCCATCCACAACAGCAGCAGCAGCATGCACAACAACAACAACAACAACAACAACATCAGCAGCAGCAGCAGCATCAGCAGCAAGCGCAGATTCACTCTCAACAGCCACAGCAGCAACAGCTTCGAACTCCCCAACAAGAGCAGCAGCAGCTTCAGCACCCGCAGCAACATGAACCGCCAAGATCTCAATCACATCAGCAGCCGGCACCTCGACAACAGAAGCAGCAGAAGCAACGTGATCAACAACGTGAACAGCAACGTGATCAGCAGGCACAGCAGCAGCAAATCCAACAGCAGCAGCAGGCTCAACAGGCACAGCAGCAGGCTCAGCAGCAACAAAAGCAACAGCCCCTTCCCGCCGAGCCAATTCAGCAGCAGCAGCAGCAGCAGCAGCAGACTCCGCCACAGCAACAGAAGCAAGATGCCAATGGGAGCGAGTCAATGGATATTGACACTCAAGCAAATGGGGAGGAGAGTGGAGGCCTGGACATGAAGATGCTTGCTGATCCTAACTACATCCCAACTCAGCCGTTGGGCGAAATGATGTCCCCGCCGCCAGAGGGCGGAAGTTACCCTACCCTCGAGGCGGTCCAGAAGGCTGTTCTCAGATACTGCACTTCCGTCGGCTATGCTATTGTCATTGGTCGTTCAAAGAAGACAGTGCCTGGCTTGAAGAAGGTCCTCTTTGTTTGCGATCGTGCTGGCAAGCCGCCAAGTCGTGTAAGCCCCGAGTGCCGCAAACGTAAAACATCGTCCCGCAAGTGTGATTGCCCTTTCGGCTTTTTCGCTATCGAACAGCGCACGCAGTGGACGATTCGATATCGCCCTGACCCTGCCCATCTTCAGCATAATCATGGGCCAAGTGAGAGCCCCTCGCATCACCCAGCCGCCCGGAAACTGGATAGTAGAATGGTTGCTGCGGTAAAACAGCTTAAGGAGAACGGTGAGTTACTCGACTAGAGGAACTGATTCCATACTAACTGCAATGAGCAGGTGCTGGCGTCTCGGAGACGCTGCAGATACTGCAGACCGAAAACCCGGATTGTCATCTCCTGCCACGCGATATATACAACGCTCGTGCGGCTATCAATCGCAATCCTCAGAAGGTTGCTACAGGACTGGCAGAGAACAGACCAGCCATATACAGCAAACCTCACCAGTCCCCTGAAGATCGCATTCGTGCTGAGTTGAGGCGTGAAATCGCAAAGGCTCGCGAAGAAATGCAAGAAATGGAGGAAAAGAAGGATAAAGAAATCAGCGAGCTGAAGACCAAACTGGAAGAAAAAGAAGTCATCATAAGAAAATTCGAAGAGTTCATCGACATTTGTAACGAAAGAGTTATGTTTCAACGACAGCGACTAGCAGGAAGCAACGGAAATGGGGCAAACCAACCTCAAGTCTGATCTCACCCACAGGCGCATCGGTTGGTCGAGTGGTTAGTATTGAAAGAAGTCGGGTTATGGTCGATAAGTACAAAGGCGTTATGATCGGGAATATTTGGCAAATGCTTGCACTTATGAGACTGGTTTTGCACAATGCTTGTTCAAGTTGATTTTGGGTGGCACGTTTGTTTTCTTCCTGGAGCATGGTTTAGGATTATGACGTGGCTTTTGTTTTTGCACTCGAAGTTTGTGTGCCTGAGACATTTTCACAGGAAGAAATGGTGATGATTGGAATACATATCTGTTGAGCGATCCGACCCTGAAATGCATCGATATGTGATAGTTGCCGTTGGGCTCAATATAAATCAATGCACTGGTGTAGATTACACTAACCTTTCTTGTCTTACCTGGTACATAGTTATCGATATTAACAAAGCAGTTTCAAACATCTAGCCACAACTTATACGTTAGTTGTGGATCCTAGAGGCTTGGTGGCCTCATGATTAACCGATGACAGTTGAGTTTAGAGTCTTATATTTACCTTACCTTATTTTTGGTTGAACGTGTACTCCGTTCATATCCCCGCACTCCCATCCACATGTACTCAAGGTAGCCCTGGTAAGCAAGGCCAAGTAGCGTAATTGGGAATGGACAGAACAGCGACTTCTAGCCAGTTGGAGTGTAAATGTCCATGGGTTGTGTTTGAATATTATGGTCCTTCCATGTCTTTCACATTTGTTCGTGCATATCATGCCATCAATAAGCACCCTTTAGAATGGCAGATGGTTGCTGAAGGTTTCATCTTATTTGCTGTGCAAACATGTAGCCCCTGGCTCGTGTCTTCAGTTTATGCTGGCCCTTTCTTTTGCACGTTAGGACCAATCAAGGC